TAGGGTCTAGGGTGTAGGGTGTAGGCCGGGCGCGAGAGTCTTGGGTTGAGGCCCCTTCGAAAGTATTCGGATCTGAGGAGATGGCCCTTCTGGATCATGAACTACAAGTTTTCGGGGTTACTGTACGGACCTGATCCTTAGATTCAACCTGAAACCCGAGACTCCTTAACCAACGGCTTCGTGAAGACGGTGCCAGGGAATTGTGATGGTTCCAAGGATAGTCCTGCACGCCTGTGCCCTTCGGAGGAAGGGAACCACGAGGTCCATTCCCGTATTATCGTCGCTAAACAAGCTCTATACATAACTACCGAAAGCCCTAGTCTAAATGGGTTTAGGCTTGGGGATGTGCGCAAACAGAATCTACTTCCCGAGTATGAAAAAGGACGCTGGAAAACAAACAAAAGCCTCGCAACCCGTGCAAAGTAGTCCTACCTTTGATAGACTTTTTGGAGCAAGTCATGTCAATCATTCATCCTTAAGCCTCTGTCCTCCAAGTCCCTAGACGCTACACCCCTAGACCTTTAAGCCCTGAAGTTTAGGGTTTAGGGTTTAGGGTCTAGGCTTTGGTTTAGGGTTTAGGGTTTAGGGTTTAGGGTTTAGGTTTTAGGCCGCCCTCCTCTCGCGACCGTGTGGCTGACGCCGAGGTGGCATCGATGAAACGGAAGGCTACAGATTCCACCACCAGAGCCTCAAGACACGCCCGTTGAAACCAACAAGTATAATACACTAGAATAGGGTTTTGGGGTATGTTATGCTATAATCATAATAAAGAACCCCCAAAATGCGATTGGTAACTATTTAGGCTTCTAAATTATCCATGTAAGGTTGAAGGTTACGGCGGTTAAAGGTTAGCTTAATAAAGTTTAGGGCAACGGGCTTTGAAATGCGGTTTGGGCTCTTACGGTTTCGCGTTTCAGTGTCACGGGGTCGGCGACCGTGGGTGGAGACTCGATTGAGAGCTTGGCAGTTGTAACTTGGCTTTTAACTACAAGGTCTCTATGCTGCAAACTTGGACGCTAAACGGCAAGGTTTCCAAGCCACAAGCTCTCCAAAATATGACGACCCCAAACCGATCACAGAAGTACGTACTGTAAGCACAACGCACCCCCCGAGCAAAATTCAGGTGGTGCGTTTCAGTCTCCCCCGAGAAGTCCGATAACACTCTGGAGTCTTAGAGCACAGATTTTGGCATTGAGGGCGCCAGGCGGCGTGTATTTTGGATTCATGCGGTGGTCTGGGAAGCCTCTGCATGCGGTTGAGGCATCTACGAAGACCCTGACTAGCAACTTTCCTCAAAAAACCTGGGTCTCAGCCCTCCAAAGCTGGAGTAATCACGTGCTCAGCGTTCTGGGCATCCGACCAAACCAGTGGTGACCAGCCCAGTGTACAAAATGCCCGTCCTGGGAGTAGGATTGGGCTTAGATCCGCCAAGCTGGTGAGACCCTCGATTTTGGAGTTTGGGGTTTCAATTCTTTCGCATGTGGTGTTTGGCATTTAGGCTGGACTAGGTGCTTTGGGCTTCTAGCACCAGAGTCACGATGCTGGGCCTCCCATTCTCCACCTGAACCCCTGAACCCTAACCCCAATTGCTTTGTTAGGCTTAGGGGGAAACTTAAACCCGACGCCCTTAGATATAGAACCTCCCCGCCCCTCCCGCCAAACAAAATACATCCTGAATCCTCAACCCTGAACCCTAACACCCTAAACCCTCACCCCTAACACCCCAAAGCCTAAACCCTCAACATTAGCCCCCTAAACCCTAGCACCCTAAGCCCTCACCCCCAACACCCCAAAGCCTAAACCCTCAACCTTAAAACCCCCTCAACCCTAACACCCACAACTTACCCCCAACACCCCAAAGCCTAAACCCTCAACCTTATAACCCCCTAAACCCCCTAACACCCACAACGCTACAATGCCCCAAAGCCTAAACCCTAAAACACCCACAACCCTACAACACCCACAACCCGAACCCGCGTGGACGGCTCTTCTCAGGGGCCGGGGGGCAGCGCCGTCGACGAGGCCAGGACCGGCTCGAGGTCTGGGGAGCCCGTGGTGAGCGCCTCGGGGCTTCAGGGCTTTTGGGGTTTAGGGCCTTTAGGGTTTAGGGGGCAGGGTTTAGGGTTGAGGGTTTAGGGTTTAGGGTTCAGGGTTTAGGGTTTAGGGCTTTTAGGGTTTAGGGGGGAAGGGCTCCAGAAGAGCTCTAATCTCGAGATTTTGGCTTAGGGCTTAGGGTTTAGAGTGTAGAAATGGGGTTTAAGGTGTAGGGCTGAGGCTGGGGATTTTGGAAGGTTTTGGGGCAACAGCAGCAGCAGCCGTAATCTCTTGCGATTAGAAGCAGTAACACCAGGAATACGGCTAATAGCGCTATTCTCAGTTCTGCTACCGCTGCTGATTACCACATTTGGTATTGTTCTTGCAGAACACTGGCATTCTTGGGTTCAGGGGGCTGTGGGTAAGACTAGCTATGTGTTAAGGCCGTCATCTGCATTGCTATTGGTCCTGCTCAACATGAGTGAGCATGATTGCCACCACAAGGGACCATAAGTGGGCAGTTCTCTAAATTAGGGTCCCTTTTTAGGTCCCCAATATAGTACGGCACCCTTAATAATAAGGACCCTAAAAGGAAACTTAATTTAGAAAACTACCCAAGTGTGATGGCCACTGCTCTTCCTATCCCATCGTGCGGAACAAACCCTTCGAGAAGACCCTATTCCCAAACCCTCTTTTCTTCGCCGCCCTTGGAACCAGGAACTCACATCATATTATTAATAATCCCCTGAATTATATAGATATAGTAGAAGAAAAATACAACAGAACTCCTAACAGCACCCTGAACCCTAAACTCTAAACCCAAACCCCCTAACCCCTAAACACTAACCCCTAACCCCTAAACCCTAAACCCTAAACCCTAAACCCTAAGAGCACTAGAGTTTTCTGCCCAATTCAAACTGCCAAGCCGTGGTACGTAGTAGGCCCAGGAGGCCGCTGCCACGACTCCCAACTTCACGGCCTCGAGGGGGGGCTCGGCTTAGGGGGTTGGGGTTGAGGGTTTAGGCCTTGTAGGGTCTAGGGTTTGGGGTTTAGGGTTTAGGGTTTAGGGTCTAGGGTTTAGGGTTTAGGGTTTAGGGTCGAGGGTCTAGGGTTTGGGGTTTAGGGTTTAGGGTCTCCGGTTTAGGGTTTAGGGGGTACTATTCTCCAAACCCAACCCCTGGACCCTACCGTCGACCTGTCTCTGAAGCCAGGCAGCAGTCACAGGCAGGGCATCCTTGGGGTTCTCAGCCATGATCTCCTCCAGCCGAATGTATCCTGAGGGGTCCGTGAGGGTTTAGGGTTTAGGGTTTCGGGTTTAGGGTTTAGGGTTTTCGGGGAAGGTTGGAGCTTGGGGCTTGGAGTTTCGGGTTTGGGGTGTTGGGTCTTGGCTTGGAGGTTTAGGATTGAGGGCGGCGTGTGCAAAAGCCCCGAAGTCCCGATCGATGCTTAGCAAAAGCCGCGGACATGACATGCCAAGAGAGCAGCCCATCCAAGGCGCGTGACAGCACATCTAAGTTGGTTACGTCCGTTGCCTGCGATGAACGCATTGGCCGTGTGTGCTGCCATGGGAGCAAGACAACGGGTCTTCAAATGTATGTTCCATTCATTATACCCTCTCAGCCCGAAGTCTTTAGAACATTCAGGTGACCGTGTGAAACTGAAGTCTCGGGGGTCTACAACCCTCCGAATTACGGGGTTTCAGGTCGCACCGTAGCATAAGCTTTTAACAGTACTGCAAGGGCAGCAAACAACCAAAGCCCCAAGCAAGCGATGCACCGAAGGCTCGTAGACTCCAGCGCAAAGGCAGGAGTGAATGTGCAAATCAAACTGCCTTGCAACACCAAGCTATAAAACCCTAAAGCCTGAACGCATGATGCTCTACTAAATTATAGGTTTGGTGATTCGGACGACCCCGTCCCCCAACCCCTCCCCGCCCTCCCAGGCCTAACCCAAAGCTAATGAAGTAAAACCCTATGGGCTCGCCTTGAGAGAAGAGGTTCAGGTCGAGATTGCTTGAAGCTCGGTACCCGCTTGAAAGCCTAAAACCTAAAACCGAACAAGCTGTTAACACTGGGTTTCTGGGGTTTTATGGGGCATTATAGGGTTTTATAGGGCTTTATAGGGTTTTATGGGGTTTTGACTTGAAGCCAGAGGGTTCATGCGGGTGGCCTCTGCCGGCCCCGACTCAATCGCTCAAAGCCAAAGCTCCCTGCAGCTGAACCGCAGCCGAAACCTGACATCGTAGACTCTTGTTTCTGCCCAAAGCCCGAAACCCACACAAAGAAGCCTCGAAACGAAGGAAACGTATCCGTCCCCCTAAACCCTAAACCCTAAACCCTAAACCCCTGAAACCGAACCCTTGAAAGTTGGGACCCGGGCCCATGCCGAATCCGATGGGCATGGCGAGGGAGATCAGATCGCCTGGGGGCAGGGAGCGGTCTAGACGAGTGTTTCTTGGGGTTTAGGGTTTAGGGTTTAGGGTTTAGGGCTTAGGGCTTAGGGTTTAGGGCTTAGGGTTTTAGGGTTTTAGGATTTAGGGTTTTAGGGGTTTAGGGTTTAGGGGTTTAGGGGCTTGCAGCTTTTGGGGGTTTTGAACAAGCCTCGAGTCTCCAATTTGAGGCTGGGGGTTTGCACATTTGAGGTCTGGGGCTGCTCGGGGCTTCGAGGCCTTCGGAGTAACCAACTTGGGGGACACTGAGTGGAGAGTGAGGGCTGAGGCTTTCAGGGTTTAGGGTTTAGGGGTTTAGGGTTTAGGGTTACGGGTTTTAGGGTTTAAGCTTTAGGGTTTAGGGTTTAGGGTTAAGGGTGTAGGGTTTTAGGGTT